GGCTTCTGGGGGGGCCCACCCTTCTCTTGGGCGTCTCCGGCCTTAAGGGCCCACCGGGGGAGGGGGGGGGGGGCCCCCCCTGGCCCAGGTGGTGGGCGCAGCGGCCAGGGACTCCCGGGCTGCCGAGGCAGCCCGCAAGCTTGGTGTCTGCTCAGATGGGATGACCTGCTTTGAGTGCTAATTGTTACTTTTTGGCACTTGCCTATTTCTGCTGGTAAATGTGACATGCTCACTGTAGAAAACTTGGGGAAAAGGGTTAAAAATACACCCATGGTGATAAGGGAGTTAGTATTTTCCCCCTCTCTCCTTTCCACCTACTGAGTGGTCTTCATTAGTTTAGGGAATTAAAAAATCATTTAAAGAAATGTTATCCACACAAAATAGTTCTCTTCTGAATTAATTTCATAACCATATGTCTAATTCATTATTTACACTGATCTCTATATTTTTATTTTAATGATTATCACCGTTTACTTTTTATTTTAAGTTCATCATTCTTTGTTTTATAATTTTTATCCAACTCTTGGTCTTCTGGACTGTGGGTGGGTAAGAGAGACTTTTTTTTCCAAATGTCATTTCTTCTGACCATCGGCCCTGAGCCCGTGTCCAGGGGAAGCAGCCCTGAGTGAGGCACAGGTGTGGGGACTGCCCGGTCCTCTCAGCGCCTCCGCCGGCCATTTCAGAGCCCGGGGGGGGGGGGGTGGTGGGGGCGGTCACTCAGGCTGTGAGACCCCAGCCCCTCCTGCGGGCAGGTGGTTCTTATTTTCTCTCCTGCCCCGATCTAAACAGGGCAAGTTCACCACGGCCAGCGACGTGTGGGCCTTCGGGGTGACCCTGTGGGAGGCCTTCACCTTCTGCCAGGAGCAGCCCTACTCCCAGCTGTCCGACGAGCAGGTCATCGAGAACACCGGGGAGTTCTTCCGGGACCAAGGGAGGCAGGTGAGGCCGGGCTGGGAGGCGGGCCGGTGCTCAGGGGGGGAGAGCGGGCCTGGCTTAGCAGGACAGGCTGGCTGGAGGACGGGCCACCGGACGAAGTCCTTTGTCACGAATCATCCAGATAACGTGAAAGACCAGCTCTTGCCCAGGCACCGTGCACACACTCTGCTCCTGTGTCCCCCCAGGATCCTTGGGGGGCAGGAGGGGGCAGGTCAGGCTCCTGGGCAGCCCAGACATTCCAGGAAATAAAATCCTCGTTCTCAGGTTTGATCTATCTCTTGATTTAAACCGTGAGGTTTGTCTCCCTGGTTGACAAAGAGAAGCTTGAAAGTAAGTAAGTGATTTATTAGCGTTCATTAAAAATTGGTTTGGACTTTCTGGCGATGTTTCTAGATGTCCATGTCCCGAGACAACCAGGTGCGCCTGGACTTCCCACCCTCGGCCGGCACCGCCTCTCAGGACAGGGCAGCAGGGCTTCCAGCCTCGGGGGTCCCGCTGCTGGCCGGGTGCTCTCAGGCCCGGTGGCTGGCGCAGTGAAGCTCCTGTGGGTGGGAATCGAAGCTTCTGCCGCAGGGCCCTGGGGTGCGGCACCAGCGGGGAGAGGAGGCTCTGGCGGAAGAGGAGACATGGGTCCCAGGGTGCAGATGGGGCCAGGCCAGTGTGCGCACGGGGTGGCGGACGATGAGGGCGCAGCTGCACGTGGGGAGCGCGCTGCGGCTGGATTTTACCTTGACACTCAGTGGCCATGTGTGGCAGCGGATCTCAGTCCTCTTTCTTGTTATGAGGCCACAGCTCCCTGCCGTGGCGGAGGGCAGGTTTACAGTGAGTGCCGGAGGGAAGGGACGGGGCCAGAAGCTCTCACCTCCCCTGGCAGCTGGGCTTCTGGGAAGAGGCTGGATCTGGTTGGACTGGATCCTGGAATTATCGGCGAGGGAGGAGGATGGTCTCTCTCAGCTACTGTCTGGGGACTGAAATCCCACAGGGGAGCATGTGTCCTTGAGGCTGAATCGGACCATAAACAGCCGCAGAAGCCAGCATGCTGGCCCCGCAGGTCCACCGCTGCTCACGTGTCACACAGCTTTGACGCAGCACTAAGGTTACAAATTTAGTTACTTAAATGTTATGCTATTCAGTTTCACGATATAATAGTTTTGTCACTTAATGGAGTTTCAATTTCTAATAATCTCTGGGATTTTTTATTCATTTTGTTATTTTTAAAAATAATTCTTTATTGTTGAAAGTATTACATATGTCTGCTTCCCCCCCCCATTGACCCCCTGCAGCCCACCCCTGCCCCCCACCTCAGGCCTTCAGCACCCTATTGTCTGTGTCCATGGGCCATGCATGTATGCATACAAGGTCTTTGGTTGATTACGTCCCCCACCCACCCTCCCCCTCCTTCCCTCTGGGATTCTGTGCTCTGTTCCCTGCTTCCATGTCTCTGGATCCACTCGGTTCATCAGTTTATTTTGTTACTTAGAATCCACATATGAGTGAGATCATGTGATACTTGTCTTTCTCTGACTTATTTCATTTAACATGAAACTCTCCAGGCCCCTCCATGCTGTCCCAAAGGGTAAGAGATCCTTCTCTTTTACTGCTGCATAGTATTCCATGGTGTAAATGTACCACAGCTTCTTTATCCACTCATCTACTGATGGGCACTTGGGCTGTTTCCAGATCTTAGCTATTGTAAATTGTGCTGCTATGAACATAGGGGTGCATATGACCTTTCTGATTGGTGTGTTTTTTTTTTTAGGATATATTCCTAGAAGTGGGATCCCTGGGTCAAATGGTAGTTTTTTACTCATTTTAAAATATTCAGTGTAAAAAGTCCACCATTTCCTACTGGTAGTGAACCAATATATTCTGACCAAATGCCCAATGGTTGAGTAGTGAAGTCAAATATTTGACGAAAGCCCAGGCCAAAGCCACATATCACCACCCTGTTCTGAGTAAGCTCCTTGCCTCTAAGCACAACTTTAAATTTTCAATAAAAATTTATTAAATTTGCTCTGGCCAGTGTGGCTCAGTTGCTTGGGTGTTGTCCTGTGCACTGAAGGGTCGCCAGTTCGATTCCAGGTCAGGGCACATGCCCAGGTTTCAGGTTCAATCCCTAGTAGGGGGCGTGCAGGAGGCAGCCAGTAGACATTTCTCTCTCTCCCTCTCCCTTCCTCTCTCTCTAAAAATCAATAAACTAAAAAGAAAAAATTATTTAACACATTAACTTACTAAATGTAATTTATTAAATTTCTATTTTATTATTTTATATTACTATATTTTATTATGTAAATACTAGAGGCCCGATGCACAAAATTCATGCAAGAGTAGGACTTCCTTCCCTCTGGCACCCAGGACCTGGGCTTCCCTCGAAGCCCCGGGTTCGTCTGAGGGTCGTCTGGAAAGATACCTGGTCTATTAGCATATTACACTTTTATTATTATAGATGATATGAATTTACAATTCATATTTTACTGCTTTCTGTCGTATGGGTAGAATTTCGGCGTGTGAACTGTGAAAGTCTGGGTTGGCGTGCGTGCGGCCGTCTCTCCCACTGTCCCTGCCAGGGGTCGCCCAGCCTGCGTGTGGTCTCTGTGCCTTTCCAATGGCACCGTTACCACCACTCCTTCCCGAACAGAGTGGATCTCATTCAGGAGAACTTCAGCGACATGAATTCTAGCAGGAATTTTATACGCAGGGCCCGTCGCTTAGGCAAACCTTAAATCCTCTGCATGCAATTGAAAGTGCGTAGAAGCCTATAGAGCAGTGATGGCGAACCTTCTGAGCTCGGCGTGTCAGCATTTTGAAAAACCCTAACTTAACCCTGGTGCCGTGTCACATATAGAAATTTTTTGATCTTTGCCACCATAGTAAAACAAAGACTTATATTTTTGATATTTATTTTATATATTTAAATGCCATTTAACAAAGAAAAATCAACCAAAAAAATGAGTTCCCATATCACTTCTGACACGCGTGTCATAGGTTCGCCATCACTGCTATAGAGCAATCATTTCAATACTGAGAATAAATGTGCTTAACATTTTTGTTTTCAATTTGTCTTAACAAACGGTGAAGAATTTCCCGAGGACACTTTCCTTGGAGGCTCGAGGTCTAAATGGACCCCGGGTTCTAACCACTTGGTCTCCAGTCTGAGATGTCATTTGCTGCCGCCTGACCTTTGGGCTGGTGGTAGGGACCCCAGAGCAGAAAGTCCTGCCGAAGGGACGGGAGATGAAGGGGGCGGGGCCGACAGGCTGCGGGCCCCTCGGGACGCAGTGACCACCTCCAAGACGGTGGAGGAGGGCGAGTCAATGACGATGCAGCAGCTCCCCCTCCCCTCTTTCCTGAATGTTCTCTCTTTTTGTTTCCAAAGACCTACCTCCCGCAGCCCGCCATCTGCCCCGACTCCGTGTACAAGCTGATGCTGAGCTGCTGGCGGAGGGACACGAAGCACCGGCCCTCGTTCCAGGAGATTCACCTGCTGCTGCTCCAGCAGGGCGACGAGTGACCGCCTCCGGGCCAGGCCGCCCGCGCGCCCGCGCCCGCGCCACGCCCCGCGCCCACGCCACGCCACGGACGCGAGTGCACACGAGGCAGGCTGTCCCTTTCCTCCCGCCCCTCGTTCCCCACCGCTCCACCCCCCTGTGCACCCCGGACCCATATATACTTTTTTTTACATTAAAGAACTAAAAAAGAAAAAAAACCGCTAGGGCAGGTAAAATCCAGTAAAGAAATTTTCATTGATGTACCACAGTGTTGAGAACAAAGCTAGATAATTTAGATAATTTATAAAGGCTAAATATGCTTATGTTTATAAATGTGCAGGTTCTACAATATTTTTTTTATGTTGCCTTTAAAAATAGTTTCAGAAGTAAAACCTTGAATACTAATGTCTTAGGGACCCAGAGATCAGGTTGGGGAAAGCGCGCGGCCAGTGGCGCCTCGGACTCGCCAGACTCCTAGTTGGGCCTCTGGGCTCGGCCCTCGCTCTGCGCGTCCCTCTTGGGTCCAAGTAGCTGTCACCTGTTTGAAAACGCGCCGCTCTCTGGAATGGGTGTTTTGTTCATTCGTGGGCAGGGCTCAGGGTGGAGGTCTATGTGCCTAGAAACAGAGATTGCGTAGGAAGGAATTGTATTGTGTGGAGGTCGGAAGGGCTGTCATTGCAAACAAGCCCGCGGACAGCCCGTCTTACTCACATGGCCAGGTGTGTCTCAGTGAGGCCGCTTTTGAATCCGTAAAAACTGCTGTTTCGATAGCTTCACCTCGGCCCTTTGGTTCATCTTCTCTAAAGCTGCCAACTGTTTTAATAAATGAATCCGGTGCAGTGGCGGCGGGCGGGGTTCCTCAGGCGTGTGCGACAGGGGAGCGCCTGTTCCGAGTGTTCCTAGGGGCCGCCTGGGACCAGCGAGGGGAGCGCCGCCCCCCTTTGCCAGGGGCACGCAGGGTGAGTGGGCTGGAGAGCTAGGGAGACAGACGTAGACGTGGACCCCAGAGCAGTGATGTGTGGATGGTGCTGGGTGACCCCCTGCACAGGCCAAGCGTGATGCAGAGACAGAGGGAGGTCTGGCTTCCCAACCTGTGGGAACAGATACCGGTCAAATCAGAGTCCCGTCAGAACCGCCCCCGAGCTCCCTACCCGCCCCCCCCAGAGCCAGGGGACAGCAGTGAAGGGAACCCCAATTCCTGCTAAGGGGACACAAGAGAAGACGGCAGAGGACACGGCTCAGGCTCAGGAGCAGCGTGACCCCTGGGCCTGCTTCTGACGCCCTCGCGTCCCTGCTCAGCCCCGGCCTTGCTCCAGGCCATGGCGGACGCCTCACCCCCGCTCCCCAGGGCACTGGCAGGGCCTCTCCTTCCCCAGCAAACGCCCTTCCCGTCGTGTCCTGGGACTCGGTCTCCAGTCTCTCCCTCAATGAACTGGAGGATCGCAGGTGGGGAGTCAGGACAGTGGCTTGGGGAGCTTGACCCGCTTCTGCTTTGAGCAGCTGTGCCATCTTGGACAAGTCTGCCGCCTGCACTGTGTCTCCTGGCCTGTGAGCTGAGAGCTCTGCAGCAGTGGCCGGGAGGGCTCCCAGTCCCATGTGTCCAGTCTCGCTGGGAACCTGGTCGGCAGGAGGTTGTCAGGGAAGTTGCTCCAGCCGCACTAGTAACACCGCCACATGCGCGCTCCCACGCCCGTCAGACACCTGCAGGGCCGAACACGCTCGCTTCCCCCTTGGGACTTGCCCCTCTGCTCGCAAGGTCCGTGTTAGCGTCACGTCCTATTCAGAGGCCCCAGAGAAACAGCTGACAGGAGACACACACACGTTTCTGATTCTTATAAGGAATCGGCTCATGGCACCATTTGTAGGGCCGAGCAAGAGACCCGGGAGACTGTGGTCGCCTCTGGGGATAGACCACCGGGGCCAGTCCAGGGAGGAGGCTGAGGAGTCAGCTCAGCTTCAGGCGGAGTGGACTCCTTTCCTTCCAGCCGAGTCCTCATAGAGTGGGTGCGGCCCGCACACTGGACAGGCCTCTGCCTTCCTCAGTCCAACAACCCACAGCTAATCTCGTCTGGAAGCAGCTCTCAGACACCGAATAACGCTAACCTGGCACCACAGGGCCCGGAGGGTGAACAGATAAGATCAGTCATCACGTTTCTCTAGAATTCAAGGGACTTGAGCACGACCCCAGCGGGGCCCAGCGGTCCTGCCAGGACTGCGGGGGGCAGGGGGGCGGCATTTCTCCCGTCCTGCGCCTAACTTTTCTCCTCTTGCTTCTTTCCCACATCCCGCCTCAGCCCCTGCATTTCATGACCCCGCAGAGAGCAGACCTATTTAAAAGGAATGTGGTGTGTCTGTTTCCCCGGCCGTGGGCGAGAGAGGTCATCGGCTCCAGGTGACTGGCAGACCGCATCATTGCGTCCTGTTAGCCTTTCTAAACGTCACCTTTATTCTGTATATGGAACGTTTTCCATCCAGGTGGTGGTTTTGGAGTCAGATTGGAATGTCTGTGTAGGTGGGTCAATGTGCTGAGAGCTAGGCCCCGCCCTCAGTGCCCGGCCCAGACTCCCCTGCTCAGAAAGGACTGGCCTGTAGGCCCGAGGGGGCTGTGGTGTCAGCGCGGGGGCAGGATCGCCTGCAGGTGCCCGAGGTGTGACGAGCACAGGACGGAGGGGGTGGCAGATGGTGAACGAATGTGCGTGTGGCTGAGCGGAGGCCGGTGGCAGGAAAAGGCCGCAGGAAGGAGAGCGGACCTCGCATAGGTGGCTGCGAAGGGTCGGGAAGCCAGACAGACTCCGGCGAGGGTGAGACTCTGTTCTGGAGACGGAACTGAGTCAGGGCAGAAAAAGTAAGTGTCGTGAAGATGAAAGGAGGATATGTATGGAGAGAAGGAATTCTGGATGATGAAAAAGGAGACATCAGGGGCAGTGTGAACAGAAGGGAGCTTTGCAGAGCCTCTGAGAGAGAAGTTCCTCATGGGCGCAGTCCCTCGTGGTGCCCGGCAGGGAGGCCCTTTCATTCCCAAGGAAGCAGGTGGCAGAGGTCTGGGCGCCTGTATCCTCAGCTGCGAATCCATCAGCTCCGCCCGCCGTGGACCTGGTTCCCAAGAGCTGCCTGGGATGCAGACCTGGGCCTGGGGAGTTTGCAGACCACCAACCGGCTTTGCGTCCCATCTCTTGCTTCTGTTAAGGGATCACTGCTCGGCCCAGAAGGGCCACAGGAACAGGGAAGCATTAGGCTCGAGATCGGTCGACTCAGTCTTGTTTGACACCCACGCAGAGGTGGGTGCGGGCGGAAGCCCTGTGTCGTTCTCACTCCATCCAGGCTTCCGCACGAAGTGGAGCTCAACCATGTGTTTTGTGTCAAAGGAGAACAGAGAAGAAGTTCCAAGGAAATATTCTAAAACAGAGTAGCATCTGCTTTGCCCAAAACTATAAAAAAAGTGAAGAAAATTATAGTTAAGCCTTAAATTATTCTTCAAATAGGACTGCTAAGTCCCTGATCCTAAGTTGAATTTAGTGTAGTCCTGCCCTCTTCGCCTTTCCGTGAGACCTCTGACCTCTGACCTGTGGCCTGGCAAATGGCAGGTCCCTGAATGCTTCTGGGAGTTACAGATCCTGGTGTATGTTGGGAAATCCTCCTGGACGGAAATTTAACATTTTTACGAAGCAGATGGATGTCTTTTCCACTTGGTAAATGCATTGGAATGCTTCCCAACACGGGAAGAAGCCGGAATGGTTAGTGAGGACGGATTGCTGGCATTCTGAGTTCTCTGCTACAGTCAGCTGCACTACTTGGAAGGCAATTGTTTCTAAAACTACTTATTTCAAAACATTTTAAAACGGGCAAGAAGTTGCAAAACTAGTACAGAGTGGCCTCACCCTAACACCAGGCTTTCCCAATGATGACATCTTACCGAACCATCACGCTTTTCCAAAGCCAGAAAACTGACATTGGTCTAATATTATTAGCGCAACCACAGATCATACTCAGATTCCACCAGCTTTTCACCTGCACTGATTTGTTCTGGGTGGGTTTAACCCTTGCTGGTTTGTAACCTGGCCTTGCTTGGGGCCCTCCAGAAAGACACCATCTGGATACAAATGTACAAACTCTTCAAGAGAATGTAACAAACTCACTCGTTCCTTTATCAACGAGCATTATCCTGCCTGGGCCGCGCACGTGCACGCATCTGCTGACTTTGCTTGGCTGTTTAGCATCTGGAACCATCAAGAACAACTTGGAAGAATCAGGCAACGCAGAGAACAGTGAAGACCTGACATGGCTTGCTGGCTAGCGAATCTATAATAATAAAAGTTTAATATGCTAATTAGACCTGACGTCTTTCCGGATGACCTTCTGGACGAAGCCAGGGCTGTGAGGGAAGCCTGGGTTCCAGGTGCCAGAGGGAAGCTGGTGCCGGCAGCCGGGGAAGGCCTACTCTTGCACGAATTTCGTGCATCGGGCCTCTAGTCAGGTATGAAGGGAAATCCAGGTGGTTCCTGCTGTTTCTACAGCAGGGAAGGATCGTAATTGTGGCAAAGAGAGCACTCCAGAGTGAACCCGTGTTTTGGTCAAGGAGTAGGTGGCACCGAGTTACGGCCCCAGGGCACCTTGTGGGAGGACTAGAATACAGTGGTATAGACCCTAAATGTGATAAACTATTTTCAGAATAGTAGAGGTTTCATTTGCCTAAATATCTGTTCTGAAATGAAATAAACCACACTAAACCAAATTAAATACTAATTTCAGGGGGGAGGGGAGGGGTGGCTGGTATTGGGGCTCCAGCTCTGTGGCTCCCAGCTGCGAGGTTTGTGGCGGTGTCTGAAGTGCCCTGTTTAGGACTCACAAGATTGTAACTTGTTTACCACTGCATCCCACATCCTGTAAAGTTCCTGGCCCAGACTCGCCTGCTGGGCACCCCATACATGCACCCCTTACTGAGTGTTGTTTTTGAATGAATCAAATGTAGAAACAGAAACTTGTCAAACTGCATGACTGTGGTGAATTGGGGAGAACTGCTCTGCTGTGATTTAGAGGGTTTGTTTTCACTGGAGGAGAGAGTAGAAAGGGCCAGAGCTTACTGGTGGAGAACAGCCCCCATCGGTGGATGTCCCGTGTGTGCCTTATTCTTTGAGGTCTTTCAACAGCATTTCAAGGTCGTTCTGTTTAAGGCACCCCGTCCAGAGCAGGCACCAGACTCTGGCCCCAAAGTCAGCCCTTTGGAGACAAGTCTTGCCGATGTCTCGTCAATAACCTCCAGGACTCTAAAGGGGCAGGACCGGTCAGCCCGAGCTTGCCGAGCTCGCAGGCATTCGGGACCCGCAGGTACCAGCACAGGGGGGGGGGGGGGGGGTTTGCGAGGTTTGAGGGAAGGCACCGTGGGGTAGGCAATCACTCCGAGTGAAAACTTGTTTTCTTGAAAAGAGGCTGGGAACTAACAGAAGGTGTGAGCGTTCCTACAAACACACCGAGTGTGCAGTCTAGCTGCTCACGTCCGCCCTTCACTATCCACGCCGCCCATCCCGCCCCCCTGTTGTCCGTCTGTCCGTCCGTCCGTCCGGTGGCTCTGCCTCTGCTGCAGCGAGGAGCAGGCTTCCTGGGGGAGGGCACACCTGGGCTGCTCTGCGGACTTTGGAGGGCCACGTGGCTTGTCAAGGGGTGAAGAGAAAACTGACGTAATTTCTGCTTAAAACTATTGTAGTCATTCCAAAATAGAGCATGTAAGAATTCTCTGTATTAGAAAAAGAACGAGATACCAATTGTATATTTTCTTTTCTTTATTTATTCTCTGTAAGTCTGATAATGGTCAACTGTAAATAACAATGATTAAAGAAATATGCGCCTGATGGTGGTTTGAGCCTTATCCCTCTTCCCCTGG